GTTGTTCCAAAATCGATTATATGTTACAAGATTACTGAATCGTCGTTAAGTCACAAAAATGTTGAAATGAGTTAAAAGATGCAGTCCTGAACAAAAGAAGTTGAAATTAGTATTAATTAATGGGAAAAGTACAATAAAAACCAATGGACTTTCTTGTTTGGAATGATTAAGTCCTTAGATTTTTTTTTGGAACAAATAAGTCCTCGGACATTCCAAAACATGTTAAATAAGTCATTGGACAATTTTTTGGAACAAATAAGTCCTTGGACATTCCAAAATATGTTAAATAAGTTCTTGGACAATTTTTGGAACAAATAAGTCCTTGGACATTCCAAAATATGTTAAATAAGTTCTTGGACAATTTTTGGAACAAATAAGTCATTGGACATTCCAAAAAATGTTAAATAAGTACTTACATTTCCAAAAAAATAATTACATTTAAAAAAGATTTTTGATAAAGTTTATTTTAATTAAAATTAAAATATATTATGTCAGTGATTTTTCAAACAAAAAAAAATAAGTATTATTAAATTTNTATTTTAATTAAAAATAATATATTTTATAAATTTTTTTAGTTTAAAAAATCACTGACAAAATATATTTCCGGATTTTTTTCACTATTTTACCACTTTATCGTTCAAAATATGAATGTTCATTGGAGTTTTTTTTCGGATTTTTTCCACTATTTTACCACTTTAACTAGTTGTACAAGTCATAAGAATGTATCCAACATGTTTTATAAAAGTTCAAAAAGTTATTTAACATGTTTTGGATTGTTCAATGACTTATTTGTTCCAAAAATTGTCCAATAAGTTATTTAACATTTTTTGGAATGTCCAAGGACTTATTTGTTCCAAAAATTGTCCAAGGAGTTATTTAACATTTTTTGGAATGTCCAAGGACTTATTTGTTCCAAAAATTGTCCAAGGACTTATTTAACATATTTTGAAATATCCAAGGACTTATTTGTTCCAAAAAATTGTCCAATGACTTATTTAACATGTTTTGGAATGTCCAAGGATTTATTTGTTCCAAAAAAACGTCCAATGACTTAATCATTCCAAACAAGAAAATCCATTGATTTTTATTGTACTTTTCCCTTAATTAATGGACAACGTATGAAGGAATTGAAACACTAAAAGTAAAGGAATCAATTGGATTTGAAATATCAAATTGAAGAGAAAAGCAAAAGTAAAGAATATTAATGGGGTCTAATCCAACATTAATTATTATATGCTAATCAACGGCCCATGTGCCATCATTATCGTTAACATTGTCGTATTGTCAATCATATAATATGCCTCCAACTTCGCTTTTTAATTTCACAAAATGCTCTTTTCATTCCTAGATTCGTTCAAACATCGATATTAATTAAATAAAAGAACACGTAAAATGCTTAAATCACATGTGATTATGCGCAATCTTGACTGTGGGTCAAGTTGTTTGCACACCCTTGCGTTGACCGTGTTTTCTAATTACATGTAATTTTAGTACAAAATCACCTGTAGTTTGCTCGTTGTGTTCTTGTGTTCTCCTATCTTGACATTGTTCTTGTTTGAACCTTCATCTATAGTGATAATCGGTGTTATGTCAAATATTTCTTCACGGCAAGGTTTTTTTCGTTATCTTATTTTACCCGTGCATTTTTGTGGCAAATAAATGACAAGAAGGTTGACATGTGAGTTCAAAGAAGTTGTTACACATAAATGGGCTTTACCCGAATGTACGAAGCAGCCCGAAACAAAAATCCACAAATTAGTTAGGCCCAAGTTGTAAAATAATTGAAGATGGCCCAAAGATGACCCTCCTTTAAAAATAGAAGATGTGTTTGGATTTCTTCATTTGGGTTGGGTCTACTTTTGAACACAATAAATAAGTGTTGATTTGATACAAAAATATCTTCTTATAACAAAAGGAAGATGACCCACTCCTGGTGTTGTCTTTCTCGACGTCTTACGTCAGTCGCTGTTGATTCATCATCGTGTAGGTGAGGGCATTAGGTGCGCAAACACTGTCCTACCAAGTTGTACTAGACTAACATGACTTGAATGATGGAGTTTGTAAATAGAACTTGTCAATTCTTTTTGGATCATGTCGTGAAAAACTAGTCTTATATGAATTACTTATATATGGTAAAAAAGACACGTGATGCATAGTGTGTATATGTGACCCACTAGACAAAATCTTGACCACCAACTTGTATATTATGTAGTTATTGGTTTTAGGGTGGTGTGGTTCCTTGAGATCATATGATACTAACATCATATTACTATAACATATATATCGTGGACATATTTTAAACTTTATCTACAAAACTGTAGTTTTATTTGATAAAACCAACATTATTTCAGCATATAGAAACATTGGCCTTTATCGATATGTGTTTCTAGAATCTAGCAGAAGTTACTATATATAATAAATTAATTAAGGAACTTTGTTTGTGACGAAGGAGTAGAAAGGAAACGTACAGTTATGTGTACAAAGCACATAAACTAAGTTTAAGTAGTTGATTAGATTTTAGTCAATGTCTTGAAGTATTATTGATTAGAATAATTGAATTAAAAAAGATATATATCTGTCACTAATTAAAGATGATATTAACAATGTCATACTTAATTTACTAAAAAAAATTAATTAAAGAATCTATACTCAATCTGATCTTGAAATGATGTGAAGACTATCGGTATCATATGCATTGTGTAATTATTTACAAGATAATAATCAGACTGATACAAGAATATAAAACTTGAACACGATATTTATAAGTTGTTTTCAACAATTTCCAACCTAACAATATTTCTGAAGACATTTTTTTTATTGATCGAGTTTAACTTTTAACAGTAATGAAACTACAATAAATTAACATTTAAAATGCACATATATGATTTATATATATATATAGACGAAGGATCGTGTAAGAAAATGAGTTAGGAGCCATTTACCAACCGCTTACCTAGATAAGCGTTTACGGACAAAATTCAACACTATCAGTACTTATTGGGTAAGATTTTGGTCCCCCAAAAGGGTATTGTGTGCAACAATTTACCCGGTAAGCACTAACCATGGTAAGAGTTGTCGCTCTCACTTACGGGGTAAGACTCACGGTCATTGCCTTCGGTCTTAGCGAGTATGATTTTTTATTCTTGTCATTATTCATCCGGTAAAATAATGTAATTTGGTAAACGCTTACTAAGGTAAAAGTTTGGTAGATAGCACCATAAAGTGAGAAGCGTAAGAAGAGATTTGGACCCTTGATCACTTTGAGTATCACCCCCATCCTATGAATTGTGCTTGATACAAGAATTGATCTTGTACATCTCGATGCATCTCATTGCTGTAGATTTTCAATTACGATTGATTCAAGGGTGGAGATCTCTTCTCATTGGAACCCAACCCTATACATATATAGGGTTGGGTTCTTGTAAGAAATTAAAGAAGAGTATCACCCTTGGATCAATTCTAATTGAATATCAATACTAATGAGGTGCACCGGGATGCAATTGATCAATTCTTTTCTAAAGCGTAATTCATGGATGGTTATGAGATTAAAAGTGATCAAGGGTTCAGATTTCTTACGGTTCTCACCATAACTTTACTTTTCCCACGATACTTCACATACATACACACACACACACACGTTTTTACACTTGAAACTTCACAGCAAAAACACTGTGAAGGTTAAAAAAAAGTCGAACCTTCACACCAAAAACACTGTGAAGGTTAAAAAAAGTCACCTTCATAGCATTTTGCTGTGAAGTTTCAAGTGTAAAAAAGTGGTCTCACGGGTCTCGCGAAAACATGCTGGTCTCACATGATCCCAAGTTTATATATATATATATATATATATATACATATACATATATATATATATACATATACATATAGGGGAGCGATCAAATAAAAACACTCAATTTGTAAAAACTTCATTCCACCAATCATAATTTTTTATTTTGTTCATTTTTTTGTAATTATGAGAGGTTGATTAATCATTTTTATTGTGGAGGATGTTAATCATAGATATTATCATCTTCATTATTTTAATTTTAGAAAAATACATGAAACAGTTTCATTAAAATTTCATTAAGTAGTACGTATATGAAACAATTTCATAACCATATATGAAACAACTTTATAAAAAAATATTATATGAAACAATTTCACAAGATTAAACAATTTCATGAAAAGATTTCATAAGATTAAGACGGATGATAGTAGTTTTTACGGTTTTTACAAATTGGAGTGGTTTTCATTATATATATATATATATAAATGGATTGAAACCCAAGGTTAAGGGGATAACCCATTGTTTAACAATCATTAATGGAGACAGCCGACTACTCTCACTATCCAAGCCAGGTTAAGAATTGTTTCGATGTAAAAATGGTGGATTTTTCGTGCCGGCAATGGAACAAGAGGAAACTAACCAAAATAAGAATTTATTGTGAAATAACAACAATTAATTAATTGGAGTATCTTTTGGGTTGATGACAGTCCACATCGATCTGAGTATGAAACTACGTTTCTCATACGCAGACTTCGAAGATGAATTCTTGGAACCATTCTGCAACTCCTAATTTAAGTTCCTAGTAAATGTTAGGTCATTTCATTGATTCACACGAACTAACACGCAAGTACAAGAAAACGATAGCTCCCCATTTTCTTTTTATGCTTTAACATATATATATATATATATATAATACTTAGACTATATGTTTGTATAATTGTTCATCTGTGGTAAGAGAGTAATTAAGACTGAATGAGCGTTGAAGTCAATGTAGGAAAAGGATATATCGTTGTTACCTTTTTCTGTCAATAGCTTGTTCCAAATAAGCAATTGAATATAAAATAAACTAAAAGATGAAGGAAAACAAAAACTTCGACATGGTTGATAAGCTGGTGCTTGCTAAGATTTTGTTTTGTCTCCGATTTTTAAATAAATTCCATTTCTTATTTAACCTTCATTTTCACAATTTCCATTCTCAACCATTAAGGTTGTTTCCACCGTTATAGGGAAAGTTCTTAATCTTGCATTTTATTTTGACAACCAATAATTAACCCTAGTACGTATCACTACAACCGTCTGTTTAGCAGATGTGGAACTCTAATCCAGTAACGACAAAGTCTCACGACGAAGATGATTCATGGGAGGTGAAAGCCTTTGCGGAGGACACCAAAAATGTCATGGGAACTACATGGCCGCCACGGTCCTATACTTGCACATTTTGCAAGAGAGAATTCCGATCAGCTCAAGCTTTGGGTGGTCACATGAACGTGCACCGTCGTGATAGGGCTCGGCTCCACCAATCCCAACCTAACTTGAAAACCCCTAATTTGCCTTCTTCTACTACTTCTTCCACTCTCTTGATTCCAACTCAAGAACTTGTTACAAATGGTGGCTTGTGTCTTCTCTACTCTATACCAAACCCTAATGCTATTTTCAAAACTTCATCTTTAAACACTATGAAAGGTAACCCTTCTACTCTTTTCTCCATTGCACCTCATCTCAATACTGACAACTTCATGAATTTTCTGGCAGCCGTGGCTCCTCGTCCCTTCAATTCTTCCCTCTCTAATTCTAGCAACATGGAGGCATCAACACCAACAAACTATAAAAGCAACACAAAAGTTAGTATTGACAAGAAAAGGAAAAAGACTGATTCAACAGTTGAAGGTATCGACTTGGAGCTTCGTCTGGGATCGATGTAGCTTGTTGGCTTCTTGAAACACATACATGGCGTGTTTTTTGTGTGTGAATGCATGTGTGTTTCTTTCCTTATTTTTGTTCACAAGCTTTTTATTAGAAAACGTTTGATTTTTTGATTTGTTGTTCATGAAAGGATATTGTATACTAAAAAGAAATAGAGGGAGTTTAGTTGAACAATGAAGAGACAATTTCAAGACAAAATAAAATTACGATAGAAATGCTTGTAGCTATGGAATTAATGTCATTTTCTTGTGGAAGATCATTTCATCGAGAAATCTTTCATGCATTAATTATCTGCAATGCACCTAATTGATCTTCTTGTTATTATGAATAGTTTTTATTGATTTTTAGATGCAAAAAAGGATTCACGAACACTTGCTGCTAGATTGAAATATCTAAACAATCAAGATTTTGCATGGATGTCTTTAAGGGAGCTTAATAATATATGAACAGTCATTTGTTAGCTTAATTAATCATCGTTGTAACAAGTTACAATTGAACACTTTATTAGAATGTACATGTTGATCACTTCTAGTTTTGTTGTACAATATTTACTTAGGACTAATGTGATGTTACGTATCCAAATTTAGTGATGGAAACACGCCATTAATTAATTACTTTTAAAGACGATAAATATTGTATCTTTTACAAAAAAGAATCTCTTAGAAAACGATATATTTTTCAACAAGATAAAAAATTATTGTATCTTTTTTCAATTAATTTGTTACACAAAATTTACTTTGATTTGATTTAGATGTAAGATGAGTGCGTAATAGGGTTTTTAACAATCTAAATGTGGGGGGCAAGGTGTGGATTGAATGCAAGAAAGGTACCGTCTTTGTGGGCTAACTATCAACATTATTTGTATATATATATATAGCTACACGCAAAAGAATGCGAGATTTTGTTAAAATGATACTAGCGCAAATTATATTCACGAAACTGGTTAAAATAACCATTTATTTCTTATAAATTGGTATTATAATCATTTCTTTTCATAATTCATTTAAATATCATTATTTTTGCAAGTATCACCTCATCCATTTGCGGACTTAGCTAAAATACAAAAAAAAAAAAAAAACCAATTCAACCCAGATTATCAAGTAGTATTTCTCTAATTATGGACCTGGATGTTGTAATGAATATTTGAATGCTCTTAAAAAGGTTTTTGGGGGTGAATGTTTGTGGTGGTCGGTAAGGTAGGTGGTTGAATGTTCATTGGGTTGTTAACGGGTTGGGTTGGACATGTTTTATGGGTTGACGATTTTTTGTACACTCCTACTACTTACGATTTCTCAAATGAACTTATGGTTATATATATATATATATATATATATATATATATATGTACAATTTTTATAAAGAAAATAGAAAACTAGCATAGATGACATATCCCTAAAGTGAGAGGCACATAGGGGGCCTTCGTAATGGACCATAAGCTAATAATTCTTATAACTTTATTTTTGAGGAGCAACTTTTAAAACAATTTATTATATATATCTATCTATCTATATATATATATATATATATATATATATATATATAGGGGCCTATTCAAGGGAGAACTGAGTTATTTGTGGTAACTGTGAGAACCAATATTAACCACAAATCAATAGATAAATTAGGAAATTTATAAATTTGGTAATTTTAAATTAAAATTTTAATGCAATGATATTTTTG